ATACACAGGAGAACCAGCTTCCTGATAATAAATGATAGATTACATCTTAAAAAATTGACAACATCTGAATAATTTTGTTGAGTTTTATAACTTATTTTCTCACACAATAATCTAAAGAATGTTTTCGCTTCTGGCCCGCTGCCACCCGTGACAGAGTACACCAGTGGACACTGGACAGAAACTCCCATGTTCGACATTCAATATTCTCTCGTTGTATTACCTCCGCTTCTGAGTCTCAGCTCTCTCGTATATTTTTTCTGTTGATGATGAGAGATAAGACTCAGAATTGGGATTGAGAAACTTTATGTCGAAATAGTGAATAGGAGTTCTGTTCTGGACGATAGAATTCCCTGGCACGGACGTCAGGGTGGGCATTGTCTCCTGTTAGTGTGGTACTTGTTGAGAAAGTCTCCCCGTCTAAAGTCTGTAGGTGGGGCTCACATTCTACGTCTTTGCAAACAGTTGATAGTTGTTTGGATATGAAATCCCTAACTGAGTTGTGGCGGATGATGATGTAGCAGTGTAGCCTCCTCTTGGAGTTGGACAGTTTAGAGCATGGTTGATGTCCATTTTGGCCCCACAAACACAGGATTGAGGTAATCGTGGAAGGTCTTTGTTATATCGAAGAAGTAGACTATCCCTGAATTCCCCTTTGTTCAATGTGAACCCATAAGAGCATAAGACTTAAGAGGTAGGACAGTCAACCAACTTGAGCTTTCTTTTTCTCTTGCCTGATTAATTGCACGTGTAGATCTATCACTGCTTTCATTGCAGATTAACGTGTATTCTAATTCGTGCTTTTCTGCCCTCACTTTTAGAATTTCTTTCAGCGACTCGGAATCATGATCTATATCCTTAAATAAAAATGGTTCCTTTATGATTTATCGTTTGAAGTACAGAGAATTAAAATTCATACGTGATATGGTGCGATTAGGACAAAAATAAAAAGGTTTTTAGTGTGCAGCTTGATTGATGATTATAACTCTCTTGAGGGAGGGGCTTTTACTTTGCGTTCCCCTGCCTTACATTTGATATTATTCACGAGTTCCATTAGAGCATTAGGGATCCTAGAGACTACAGCGGAGGACACTGTGACGGGACTTAAACTTTATAGATCAAATTTAATATTATTCACCGTATAACTATATGTTTATAATTTACCAACCTGCGCGCGCTGATGGCTGAGCTGCGCTCGTTATTGCAAATTGAAATAGTTACAGTTAACATCCATAAAGATTCACTTTGAAAGTGGAACGTCTTCTAGAACCTTTCATGCGTCATGGAACATGAAATCCTCTATTTTGGTTTGTTGTTAAACTATAAGGTCCTACAGTAGACTTGTTAAACCCAGGGCAACTCTCATATGTTGATAATAAACATTTACCTCACCAAACCATGTACCTTTTACCTTACAGTATCTTTATTTACAATTGGGGAAGAGAGACTACGACGGCGGAACTTTTTAAAATGTAAAAGGGGTGGACAGTGTGTAGTGGTGAAATCATATAGCATTTAGATTTATAATTTTATAAATGAAATCGTATATGATTCATTCAGCAAATTCGCCGAGTATAGTCAACAGTACAAGTTTACAAATAAAAATATTTACGGGCCGGTAACATCCACAAAGATTTATAACCCTGAAAGTAAAACTTCTTTACGTCTATTAGCATAGAATGCTGTTTGAGTGTTAAGGGGAAATGTTACTTTCTGCTTCAAGTTTGGCGACCTAACATTAACAAATCATTTAACACAAACATATAATATGTCAAACTCCAGAGACAGAATCCGCTTTGAATTAAAAATTAGGCCTTTTTAGTCACGTGCTATGAAAATGCGCTGCTTTATTTTAAACTTTGACAGTATAACTATATAATTTTTAGGCCAATTGAGCAATTAAATTTATATTTTGTCATTGCATGTCATCAGTATGAGTAAGATCACACAATTTAATTTCAATCTCTATATTGTATTTGTGTAAAGAAATGAGCTAAAATGGACTCAAGTTCGTTTATAAGTTATACTTATAGCTGTTTTTTGCAGAGCGCATGCATAGTAATAAAGCTAAATGCTTCTGTATCATGTGCGTCAATCACAATGCGCGCAGCAAACTTGGTCATTTGTGAAAACACCGAGCTCTGCCTCTAGGCAGAGTAAAAAATAAAAACGAATACGAAACGAATGTTTTTAAGTTAATCTGATACATGATACACCGAAAAAAGTTATTTGCAAAAATTATTATTATCGAACTTTACACAAATCCAAAGTAGTTTATACTAAGAACATCCTAAAAACCTGATAAGTCTACTTGCAGAACTGAAAACTTACTATAAATGCAAAAAATGGAACTTAAAACTGAAATTATCAAAATCAAAAATTATGCAAAAAAATTGAACTTAAAACTGAAATTATCAAACTAAACAAATTCAAAATAAATTTCTCCACAATTGGCGGTTCGAGGCTAAATGGCTTAAATCTGTCAAGTCGTCACTATTATTTAAATAAATATTTCTTTTATTCAAAGTGTCTAAAATAGTTTTAAAAATATTACTTTGATGTCTACCAATCCTACCTTTCATATTTGACATACTGTCAACAGCAATATTTAGAGCTAGTTGTGGTGGTGAGTTGCAGTCGCTACGAAGAATGTGCCAAAGATTTTCCAGCGGGATTTATGAACTCTCTCTGAAAGTGGAGTTACATTGCAACGAGCATATAAATCCTTGTTGCTGATGATGCGGGGATAGGTCATGTTGATGAAAATCTTGGACCTCGTTTTTTGATGATTTTTTGAGGTCCACGATTTTCAAAATCGAATCAAATTTTTATAGGCCTATTTTAAAATTCTGTCTAGCTCATCTCTTTTAAATTATCCCCAGAACATATCCTAAAAGTTGCAGGGTGATTGCTTAAAAAATATAGGAGAAGATAGATTTTTAGACTCGATTTTCAGGGCACACGATTTGAAAACCCCATTAGGACGAATTTAAGATTTTTTGGAAAACTGCCAAAAATCAACCAAATTATGAGTTAGAATCAAATGAGAGGCAAGAATGAAATATGTAAAGTTTATGAACTGATAGCAATTCACCTTTCAAAATTTGCTCCTTCACAAAAAAATGATCGATTTTTACATTCCACACACTATTTTCAACTCACCCTGTACATTGCATTAACTTTCTGTGTTTGATTCGACAAACTCTGACCAGAATCCCTTTTGTAACTTTAGTCCAAAGTTTAAAAGGATGTCCGAGCAAGTGGCTCAACGCTCATACTTTGCGTTTATTTCGCGTTTACCTGAACGAGAAGTTCATATTTAAAGACTGTTCAGATATGTGACGAGCTATAACACTTCCTGGCCTTGTGTTCCAAATGAATCACTGATTGTGTTTCGTAATCACGTTCCTCTTACGGAAGGCGCCTGTATTGACAGTCTTATTATTACATTTCCCTACTATAAGAGACAGTAACAACTGGTTTAGAAACGGAAACCATCTTCACAAAAAATGCCGACCAAATTGTTTTGTTCAAAATGTCAAGAAACATGAAAATTAGGCCTATTCATTTTTAGCAGTTATTGACAAATTTGACAATAAGAATTGAGTTTAAATCACTTGATACTAATTTGAATCGATTCAACGGTAAAAATACATTTAAATAGATGGTTTTTATGATTTTAAGAATTAGAAGAAATTAGAAATGCATGTTGTAGTATGTAATTGTTACGTATCGAGCAGATAGAGTTCCCGTAACAGCCTTCAATATTCTAGAACCTTCCAAGGAACATGAAATCCTCTATTTTGTTTTTTGTTAAACTATAAGGTCCTACACGAGTGCAGTAGACTTGTTAAACACAGGGCAACTCTCATATGTTGATAATAAACATCTAACTCACCAAAGCATGTACCTTAAGTAAATCGGGGGTATACCTGATGATTTCTGATCAGTATTCGTGTTTATCATCGGAGTTTTGCCTCCGAGAAGCAACCATCTGATATTCTTTATCCATATTTTTTCACTCCACAGGCGTTTTTGCAAAATTTTCTGCTCGTGTTGATACCCAAAATTTCAAAAATTCTACTAACGTAAGTCTGTTTTGGCATATCTTTTTACACAAAATAGCTGTACTGACGTTGTGATCCTATCGCTGGACGCTGACACAATTACAAAAATACGGTTACTTGATTGGATTAAGAGTTCTAGGTTATACAATTCTAAAACGCACATTCGTATTGATAGCACGTGGCCCTTTTTCTCGTAACAATTTCTACAGAAACTAGAAAAAGGACAATAAGGTTGTCAAATTATTTTCTGTGCATCTCCCGTTGAGGCCTGCATGACGTGGACGTTCATAGTTCGGAGACGATTTCCACTATATTTTAAACTAATAACAGCACTAAAAATCTATTAATTTATTAAGGAAACGATACAATAGATTAATTGTCGGCCGAGCAGCACAGTTGATAAAAACGCCAGTTTAAGCCACTGTGCTGCTATCCTAGAGGTTGTGAGTTCGATCCCCGTCAGGCGGACAGTTCTCAACATATTATAACCTAAAAAGAATGACCGATCACCAAACCATGGTGTTGCTTAGCACAAAATGTTACACGGACTAGGCCTTGGAAACAAATTAATTGTTGGTAGCTGTGATGGGCTCCTCGTGCAGAAATGCATGAATATCTTCCTCCTTGCTGACACTTGTGTGAGCTTGGAGAAGCATCATGAGCGGGCGTTGCCAGATAACTGGCTTGTATATAAAATGTAATGTAATGCAATATGTAAAATAGAGTCGATATATTTTAATGATGCCATGAAAAGTCCCCATTCACTCCGATAGTTTCACTGCATCTTAATATTTAATTATGTGACCACCACTATCATATTTGATCATAATATTGTTACCGACAAAAAAAGCGCTATTCGAATTGCCTAATATCGAAGTTTATATATTGACAATGTACGTATTAAGATCATCAATATAACCCTTGACATACAGCAATGTCCAAGTTAATGTTGGTCGCAGCTTCTTTGGTGTTTTTGTAAGTACTGTTTTGATCGAATATTTTGAAAATTAATAAGATTTCTTTAGAATCGGTTATTTTATAATTATTTTCTACAAAATCGTACGCGTAATCAACTCGGCGAGACTATTCTTTTGGTGCCAAAATTATGATATTTGAAGAACCAAATTTTGAAAATTCGAAAATTGGTGGAATTATGTTTTATCAAAATCGGACTAGAGACAAAATTCAGTGCCAACTCTTGGGGCTTATAAAATAGGCTATTAAGAGAAAATCTTTTCAGATTGTTTGAACTTGAAGCATGGGCAGGAAATGTTCCAGGTACGTTGTTTAACATAGTCATTAGCTAGTGTTCTTTATTGTACGGATAAAATATGATAATCACAAGCTTACTCCTTGAACTTTATGTTAAGATGTGATGTATTTCTCAATTACAGTAAATTTCAATCCCTTATCCAATCCTTCATATTTCGTCATTTCGACAGAGAACTGGAGTTGTGCTCCACTCACTGAAATCACATCGTCTGTTGAGGGATGTGTGACATCAAGCTCTTATGCAAACGGAGTATGGAGCATTGGAACTTCAAACTCCAAGGTAATGTTCGTTTTATCAAGTGATGCAGATGGCATACCCCTCGTGTAACGTCACACTCCCCTCACGTGACGTCACACTACCCTCGTGTGACGTCACACTACCCTCACGCGACGTCACACTACCCTCGTGTGACGTCACACTACCCTCACGCGACGTCACACTACCCTCGTGTGACGTCACACTCCCCACACGTGACGTCACACTATCCTCGTGTGACGTCACACTCCCCTCACGTGACGTCACACTCCCCGCACGTGACGTCACACTCCCAGCACTTGACGTCACACTCCCCTCACATGACGTCACACTACCCTCACGTGATGTCGCACTCCCCGCACGTGACGTCACACTCCCCTCACGTGACGTCACACTCCCCTCACGTGACGTCACACTCCCCTCTTGTGACTTCACACTCCGCAGTGTTACACTTTATTTAAAACAAGTTAACTTCTTCAGTCTGGAGCAGGGGCTAACAAGTTTTGTGTAATCTCACTTTCTGGGGAGGGACTTCACACTAGCAAGGACTTTTACGTCACGGCCCGGTTCTCTAACAGCAATCCAAGTGCCATTGCTGGCCCCTTCGGAGGTATTACCTTTAATATGGAGGACGATAACAATGGCAACTACGTTATGATGAGGTGAGACAAAACTCGTTTAATTGGGAAAAATGACAATTTAGCTCCCGTTGGATTTGGTTTACTGTATCTGCAATATTATGGTGTGAATCAAACAATCAGTTTACTTACTTTTACAGAAGAGATAAAAACAAAAAAGCATTAATAATAATGCATTTTCTCCCAGATTGAAGGTACCAGCAGCTGCCAATGTTCAGATGGGTAAAATAGTTAACGGTAATGGACAAAATCTCGCTCAAAGCAAAGTCAAGAATAACGCTGTCGCTTCTGGAGCAGCGACTCTAGGTTAGTGGTTATCGCACAGAGTGGAGTTGCAAATCAGTTTGCCAATTCAGGGGCAGCTACCTTAGGTTAGTACTGCAGTAAACCTTATGTTAGTATAAAATAAACAATTGCAACATATAACGCACGACTACTGTAGAATCCTGCAAATATAATACGTAATCAACTTGCCTGTAGTATACCAAATTCAAAACAAAGAATTAGTCAAAATTATCACTTAATCAACTTCTGTTCGGAAAATTGCAATATGTGCCGAAATCTTGTTGTGTGTTATTTTATGAAAATCAAAAAATTGGATCGGATGAAATTAAATGACATTTTTCTCATTCTTTGACGATTTAATCGGTGTGATAAGCCTCAATTCATTACGTTTTAAGGCTGTACTAAATAATTATTAATTGGATTTTGGTAATCATCTGTCTATTTATAGTTATAACCTTTTTTTAAACCCGATTTTTGTGAAGTATAAATACTTTACAAAAATCGGGTTTTATAAAAACCCTCGTGAAAAAACCCATCATATAATTGGTTTACCTGGGGACCTTAGGCTATTAGTATTATGTATTTTAATAGAGATGCGGCGGAATGACAGGCTGAGCGCGGCCCAGTAAATAATTGGTATATAGCACTGATGCGGATGGCTATAATGTGCAACACCCGTACTTTTAACAAGAATTGTGCCCGTTGTTTCGTTTTGGCGGACGCTAGATTACCATTTCCTATAATTATAAATATAAGCTCTAATCAGCTCACTTCATAATAATAATATTGAAACACATCAGTAAACTACGTGTGCCACGTACAAAATGGGCCACGTACAAAATAGGCCTATCACCTAATACGATACATTAAAGTTTAAACATAGTATACATTAAAATACGTTCACGCCGAGCATTCATTGACCACAGTCTGGCTATACACCACATCTCCGCAAGCAATCCTCGCGCACACGCGCGGCTTTTTCGTTGTATGGTAACGGACGTAAGGACATCTTTAAACCCACTTACTGCGATCTCCAAAATTCACGTTTTTCTGCAAAAACGACCATTCGTAACCTTTCACTATTGCCTTTTTACAAAAGGGTGAAATGGAAAAAATGGCTGTACCGTACGTAGTAGCAGTACGTACTAATAAAATTGGTTATAAAGTACAATAGAAAAATAAGGTAAAAAACGGACACCATTTTTTCAGAAAAATTTCGTACTTTAAAGTGGTTGTACGGTACGTACTAAAAATAACCGGGTACGGTACGTACTTCTCATCTTAGGCCACACCTGAATAAAAACTTGATCGTGCTGATTTGGTCGTAACTCGTAGCACTAAAAACCTATGAATTCATATATTTTCAAATCATATAATTTCACAGAATGTAAACATTTTTCTAAAGTTTTTTTAGCCACAAGAAACCTTAAGCTTTCAACAAAAATATGCATGGCATACAAAGCTTTTCAGTTGAATAATTACCAGGGGCACAAAATGGAGCAGCTCAGAATAAAAAATACTTCTAGTAAATGCTCCCCACATTGGCTTACAGCTTTTCAATCTAACAATGCACGTAAACCAGTACTCAGTTTGGAAATAAATGTGTCATTAATGTGTCTCTGCACTCCATTTTAATTAACCTGCTCACTTAATATAATGCACCAATCAGAGGAGAGCAAGATGTGTCCTATTTTTTACACACTAAAATTTTGCGAAATTCCCTCAGAGATTCTGGTTAAGAGCGAGGAAGAGTCAGTTTGGATAGACGGTGTTCTAGAAGAGTCTATCTCCTCTCAGCAGCCCTTCTTTGTAGCAGCTGGTCATGTTGGGTTCGGGTTCCAATCCGTAAAAAGTTGGAATTCTATCAAGGTTTTTAATTTCTGATTAGGACGTTTAAGTTAATTTTTGAACAAAACAATAGCTAAGAACTGGGATAATTTAAACAGGGTAGTATCTAAGAAACCCTTCCACCAATGCCCCTTATAGCAGGTAGAAGGAGCAGAAGTGTGTACTCCTATATTATAACTATATGTACTTATATATAATCTTACCATTAATTGTGACCGGTCATTCCATTCCAAAATAAAAAAATGAACTGCCCCGTAACAGGTAGAAGGAGCTGAAGTGTGTACTCCTATCACGTGTACAGATGTAGACGGTAAAGTACACTCTGGTGGGGACACGTGGACAAACGATGACGGCAAGACATGCACGTGTTCCGCTGAAGGTATCGAGTGTGTGTGTGAAACTATCACCTGCCCCGGAGGCCAGGAAATATGGACAGAACCTGGAACTTGTCTTTCTAAATGCATCAAATGTTAGTAACCATTGTTAGTGAGGGTTTGGTAACTGGGTGTCTTATGTGTACTTCCCGAAGTAAAAAGGATTTATTACTACAATAACTTAATACTCACCTAGTTAATTTCAGCACCAGCTTATTGTTCCAGCTCCGGAGATCCTCACTACAGGTCGTTTGACGGAAAATACTATGATTTTCATGGAGTATGTACATACCAGGCAGCTAGTTGTGGGGACTTCGTTGTAAGTTTTATTTACTAGCTTCTTTTTTATCAATACATTAAGGTTTTTACATTAGTCTTTTGTGGTAGGTTCTTCAAACATTATCAGCAGGACTGTTTGTAGTTTCTACCTGCAAAGAAAGCCATGAAATTAAGATTTAGTATCTTTTATTACTCCGTTTATCTGTGTATGTCCTTCCATGGTCAGTTTTCACACCTTACCTGTCATCTGGGGTCCTAATCAGAAGATATTGCAGAGTGAGAGGCTGGCACCATCCAGTAATCCACGACATGCAATTCTTCAGTAGAAAATATCTAGGCATATAAAGGCATATAAACTGCAATATTTCTGATGATCGATTTTTATTTCAGGTAAATTTCAAGAATGTTGATCTTTATAATCGAGCCCCAAGATTCACACGACGAATTGAACTGATTTTCAATGGATGCAAATTTTCTATAGAGAGAGGTTTGGTGTCAATGGTCGATGACGTAACTGTGAGTACTTAAAATCTATATTAACTACTGTCTCCGCGGTAAAAAATTGTAAATAGTGGGCTAATACTATAATCTCATAATTATATTTTAATCAGCAAATAAACAACTTACCAGGTCCAAATTCCCTACATCAAACACTACAACAACGGAGACAGGGTTGAAATCATCAATAATGGTCAACTTGAAATCAGGCTGTACAACAAGGGCAGAAACCCATCAGTGCGTCTGCGTGCTACCAACGGGGGTTCTTATATCAATGCTGAAATGTGGCTCCACGGGTCTTGTGCTGACATAACAGAAGGTATGTGTGGGAACTGGAACGCGAACCCTAGCGATGATCTAACGGGAGGAAGTGCAAATAGTTTGGGAATAATGCACCAGAAGTACGATGAGAACTGTCCTGCTCCCCCTCTCCCACCAGATGTTTGCAGAGACGTCGGAAACCTACACGACGAAGCTGAGGCTATCTGCTCTGCTCTCTTGAGTAAGTGGTCTCAATTATGGTTTTCATCAAATACTGAACATTTTACAGTTATTAGGCTGGAGAGGTGGGTTTTAATCTCTGATTTAATTAATTAATTAATTTATCTCAGCTGATGATGCTCATGAACTTAAGAACTGGGTCTGAACAAATTATTAAGCCCATTTTTCCTAGATGACCCATTCAAGCAATGTAACGGTGCAATACCGGTTGGAGATAGAAACGGTGGTCCCATGAAGGACTGTATGACAGACGTCTGCATGTGTTATTTAGATGAAGTTAGAACATATTAATACTACTACTACTATTCATTGACGTATTTATCAAATTTTTTTAGGGCTTTTTTTTAGACAAGCCGAACTGGCAGGAGTTTTGACTTATAGAATCTAAAATGCGTTGCCTACGATCCATAATGCTATAATGCAACCCTACCAGTTTTTCTTGTAATGATCTTCCTTCAGGCGTGTGCTTGTCCTCAGTTTGATGTGTACGCCACTCAATGTCAGAATAGCGGCTTTGATGCCGCTAACTGGAGAGAAGCTGTCGCATTCTGTCGTAAGTTATTTTTGGACACCAGACATATTTAGAATAAAGATTAATTTCTAATTTAAAAAATTTTTCAAAACGTATTTCAAAATTTAGGGCATACATTCTGATGCTATATGCTGTAAAACGTTCCGAAAGGAAAGAGCTGACTCTTATCTCTCCCTCAGCGTACGATTGTCCTGAGCCAACAACATACCTATCTAACGGAGCCACTCCAGTACCAACTTGTCTCGACAAGGAGCCAGAGGAGACCGGGACTGTTAGAGGGTGTTTCTGTCCGGAAGGCCAGTTCCTACAGGATGGAGTTTGTGTAGATGCTAGCGGGTGCAAGTGTCTCTACGAGGGACAGTTCTATGAGAACGGTGCAGTTATAGAAAAGGAAGCAGAGTGTCAGACATGTACTTGTCAAGATGCAGGGGAGATGTCGTGTCAAGACAAGGCGTGTCCAACTCTTAACTGTGAGGAAGACCAGCTAGAGGCTAGGAAGGATGATGAGTGCTGTCACTACTGTCTTGATAACTGGGTCGTGGTAAGTTAATATTTTAGTTGTTAGATCAAACTAAGTGAAGCTCGACCTATGTGTGAAATGTGTTGTAAAGTGTGACTGTTGTTCGTTTTAAGCAAGCATCCTCTCCAGGCAGAGAACCCCGACAACCAGATCAAGAAAGGACAGTCTGTAGTTCTGACCTGTGAAGTACTTGTAGAGGGGGTCAGCAAGAAGGACATTGTTTGGCTTAAGGACGGTAAAAAGATAACTAAGGGAATCTCTAGAAACAAGTGGGTATTCTTACAATGATTAATTTGGCCATTTATATCTTTATTCATTTTTGCTTTCCCATAAACTTCGTTTGAAGCTGTGTCTATAAGTACCTCAATATAAATTGTATCTTCTTCACAGGAAGATGCTGACTGTATCTGATGCTGATGCTGATGATGATGGAACCTACACTTGCCAGGCCACCAAGGATGGAGTCACTGCTAGTGACGACTTTGGAGTAGATGTGGTAATGCCTGCAGTTTGTGAGCATGAGGATGGTACGAGCTTTGAAGAAGGTACCATTTATAACCCTCAGGAGACAGAAGAGTGCACGTGTGATGCACAAGGAGTACATCACTGTGCCTGTATTGATGACGGGGAAGAGTGCGAAGATCCCACCCCTGTGGTTTGGTTTAATGACAACTGTGTCAAGACCTGCGTTCCTGAGCAAGGGCACTGTGCCGCTGCTGCTGATCCATTCTACTCAACGTTCGATGGCTCTAAATTTGCTTTCAAGGGGGATTGCAAGTACAACTTCTTCAGTTGTGGTGACGTGAAGATGTATGCTGACCATGAGAAAGAAGAAGCCAGTACTAGCACCAAATATATTGAGGTAAGATGTCGTCTTGAGTTTGTTTAAGTTTTATTTATTATAGTTTATTTATAGGTCAGTAATCGCATTATAAATATATTGAGGTATGATTTGACCCTCATACATTTCAGCATTTATTTGTTATCATGCAAAGTTAAGATCCATAGTAAGTTAGGATCCACGATAATTTTAAATTATCATCTAGAAATTATAATAATATGATAATAAGTTATTTTTACCACCGTCTTACTGGCCCTTATTCAGATAGCCTTCAAAACGGACGTATTTAAGCTGGAAGGCAACACTGTGACCCTGAATGGTGATGTTGTTGCTGTTCCCATGCACAAGTCTTACAAAGATGGATCTAAGATTTCACTTGAAGACAAAGGTAGAGAGCCCATTTATTACTTTGAAGAGTATAACGATACAATATAATCATTGAAACTTGCAAATCTTTATGAATAAATTTTAGACATACCTATCCATTTCTTATTTAATATTAGGTAATATTTCGGTATTTTCCTCCGATGTGTCTCCTTCTCCCCTCTGAAATACTCGTACAATAATATAATAATCCAGCTGAGATCGTACATAAACATTGCAGGAACATACACGATGACGATTACACAGGACGGAAAAGATCCTTTGGTGTACCTGCAGTGGGACAAGATCTCCAGCTACTCCATTGATATTCACGGCTCCTGCAAGGGCTTCTCAACCGGCATGTGTGGTAAATGGGACGACGATAAAACAAACGATCTGACTGGACCTGAGGGAGACGTACTTGACAGGTTAGTCCTATAGTTTAGTTGTTAAAGTAACTAAATGTGCTCTAATGACTCATACGCTCTTTTGATGGAAATATATATTCTTATTTAGAGGATGATAATTATTCACTCTACACTCGACTGAATGCCAGGGGAGCTTTTTAACCCTATGTCATGTGGGGTGATTTTGAATCGGCGTTAGAAAATACATCGATTCAAGTTGGTTTTGACTGTCGGGGCCCTCTTCAAAAAATCTCGAAGATCGAGTGTAGAATGATCTCTAGCACACTCAACACTCGTTATTTAGACATATTTATAAGTTTACACATTAATAATAATAGTAATACTTATAACCCTAGTGTTGAAGCTTTCGGGACAGCATGGGCTCAAGATGACGAAGCAGACTGCCCTGTACCGGTGCCTCCCCCAGACATGTGTGATCTCATGGGTCACACAACAGCCCAGAAGTCAGGTTATGAGCAACATATTGCTAACATTCTTAAAGAAAGTCCCTTCTCAAAGTGTGCAGATGTTGTGGACCAAGAACCCTTCGCAGCAGAGGCCGTAGATCAGATCTGTATGTGTTTCGATATTAGCTGTTCCTGTGCCATTCTCGAACAGTTGGCTGGAGAGTGCAAAGCTAAGGAAGTAAATACTGACGGATGGCAAATCAACTTCCCTGAAAGCATGTGTGCTCCTAATTGTCCAGAAGGTTCAGTATTCAAACAAAGGGGACCTAAACCAGCACCGTCCTGCCAAAAACCTAACGGTGGTAAAAAGTCTCAGTCTGGATGTTTCTGTCCCGAGGGTCAGATGATGGAGGAAGGAAAATGTGTTGGCCTAGATGACTGCAAGTGCGAATATGCTGGCCAGCTCTACGATGTTGGAGACAAGTACGAGAAGGGAGCAGAATGTCTGGATTGCAGCTGTGTGGGTAAGGGACAGGAAGAGTGTGAAGACAAGAAATGTAAAGTTACATGTGGTGATGATGAGATCGAGGTTGAAAAAGAAGGAGAATGTTGTCCCATATGTCTTGCTAACTGGGTGGAGGCAGTTAATCCTAAGCCTGATGCTGTCGTCAAAGAACCCTTAGCTCTGACGTGTAGGGTGAACGGCGTGGAAGTGACCAAGGATAATGTTAAGTGGTTCAAGTTTGCCCCAGGTATGGCGGATCTCTCCAAAGCACAAAAGGCGTATTCCATTTCTGACGACGGTTTGACCTTGACTATCAAGAAAATGGATGCTAAGAAAGAAGGAAAGTTCAAGTGTGTCGTGGAGAAGGATGGGAAAACATCTGAAGGAGTATTCGAGGTTGCTCTGCCACTCGAAGAAAAAGACCTGGTTAAGGCAGAAAAAGAAATCGTAGATTTTGTCGAGGGTGATGTGATAAAGCTTCAGGTAAAGATTATTATTGGATTACCTTATGAATTTGATATATTCTTCTTTGTTGAGGAGCTGTGGCCGAGGTGACCAATACAATTAAAGCCTTGTGTTTACCCCGCGCCGGTAAAATATTTTAAAATAATTGAATGTAAAGGTTTAATTTATAGGTTTTTCCGCATATTTTGGTGTTTTGTCGCGTTTTTGTCGATAATCCTTTGGAGTGAGTATAAGTCCACTATTTCTGTCACACTGCAGTAAAATGAGCCAAAGTATCCTCTTCGTTGTAAAGATCACTTTGGGCACTTACTATTAAAGTAATTCATTGTGCCCTGTTCCATGAGGCAATGAGGACACATTTTGGGGATTGTTGCCGGCTTAAATTTGTTAAGATAGTAGTTTAGTTCACAACGTCCGGCAAGAAACTGTTTTGTTGTTCTTGTGGTCTCTTTACCAAGTTCTAGCGAATTTGTCTCTCCATACTCGTTTGAAGTAAATGTTTAATATCGTTTTTCTTCGTTGCCTCATTTTCCGATGACTTATTCTCCGCAATGCCCCTTTCCATACCTCTGGAATTGGTAGCAGCACTTGGGCGGAGTCCTAGGTTTTGGAACATTTTTGGCAAGAAAATCTGTATATTCATTACCAGCATATCCAAAGCAGGAGGACTTGATTATCGGTCACTAGTCGGTCACGGTTATGCTCAGTTATATTTCCATTTCCTTCTCTGTGTAAACATTTGATATCATTGCCATAATAATAAATTGCATTACTTTTCGTTTTCACGTTTATAACTTTTTAAGGTTTAATCGAAGTATTTTGTGAAAGTTAATCAGTAATGTCTACAGTGTAATAAACTGGAGACAGTGACGGAGTTGTTCTGGACTTGTAACGGACAGAAAATGAAAAATGGTAAAGGCAACGTGATGATCATAAACAAAAGTAAGCATTTTAAACAAAAGGTAGCTCTGAATCTCAGTAGCTAACTTTGTGGTTGCATTAAAAGAAATGTGAAACTTATTAAAATTCCATCACTGTGGTATAAGTGGATGAAACCAAATACAAATAATAAAAGAAAAAAAATACAATTTTGTTTTATTAAATTTTGTTTTATTGCTGACTTTTTGATTTCAGAGGCTTTCAGCGAACTGGTACTGAAGCCAGCTAAACTGTCTGACAAAGGAACGTGTACATGTCACGCCAAAGGACAGGGTACGGAGGATTCAGCGGACATTCAAGTAAGAGTACTTGAGAACGAAGTTACCATCACGTCTCAAGCGGAAGACCTTACATGTAAACAGGGAGACAAGAAGACGGCTTGCGTTCTAGGGTGGGATGTCGTCTCTACAATCGGGGTATGGTGATATAATTAACTACAGGATGAACCCCCACCCCCGCCCCCCCCCCCCCTATCTGATGGCAGACAAGTTTATTGCTAAATAAGAAGGTTCCTGATAAAGTTTTGTCCTAAAATTGTTAACACTGATTCTGGAGCATCCTACTGCATGACTTGAAAAGTTTTAAGTCGTTAAATCTGAGCTGCGAGTTAGTAACAGAAGTAACTTGGTTGCCTTTTTGGGACACCCTGTACTTTCAGCTCATTCCTGTATCACAATTTTATTTCAATAATTATTTTTGCAACTACTGTGACATAAATAATATAATAAAGATTTCTATACATCATTAAATAGGATGTTGGCATAGTCAAATATAAGATTTGTACAAAGTTTATCATTTAATAAAATATTAGAATTGTTAACACAACTCCTCTGAGTACATCCTGGTAGAGTTAGACAGAATATAAGTTTATCTGTCTCTAAAGTTACATCTTAACTATACCTGAATCTTAATGCACTTATTTATTTCAGACTGTCAAAGTAGCGGTTTGTCTCTACAAGAATCAGAAAGCGACGAAGTGCAAGAAAAGTAAAGTTAAGGATGGCATCTATACCAAAGAGTTTGGCAAGAAAAGGAAACCTAAAAACAGTGGATCATACGTGTAAGTTTTCAAGTTCTATCAAATAAGTTACTAAGTTAGCTTCAATTGAAATACTGGAATAGATTGAACTGCACCCTTGTTAGAATTATCACCGGATTAGAACTGGAGACTTCTATCTACTACTATTCTTACAGGGCCAAGGTCACGGTTAATGGCAAAACGTTCATTTCTGAACCTATCAACTTGACCGTAACAAAAAAAGAGAAGAAAAAGAAAGGAAACAAGAAAAATAAGGACAATTAAAAACCGATCAAAGGCGCACGATCATATTTATTTTATTTATACGATAAAATAATAATATAGCTTTTTGGATAAACAACTTGCATGCGGATAGAATTTTTGACTGTTTCCCGAATTGTCAGTTTTTGTCATGTGAAACAGATAAATTAGATGTATAGACTCTATTTTTAAGTGCGAAACCTGGGTAATTTGTTTTCACATTGTATCAGCTAACTAAAAAATATTGTTATATTAGTAATCGTGCTATTAATAAAAAAGTTTAACGTTCATAGCCTAAAATAAAACTGATTGCTTTTTGATTTATCGTATAAAATGCAGAGAATTAAAATTCATAAAGACGAAATTATCAGCATCTTCCAGGGGACAATTGGGGCACAGTCGAGGCAAAAAATGACCTTAAGCACAGTTTAGGGAAAATCCTTAGGGAAGCTGGGGCAAACCTTTATTACTCTGGCTATCTGATTAATAAAAGAACTTACAGGCATTTTCTGCCCGTGATACATAGGTATCATTAGCCGTGATGATATCCAGCTATCTTAATGCACTTATTTGTATCAGAAGCTCAAAGTAAAATATGTAAAGATTTGTCTTTACAAGAATTTTAGAATGAGAAGGCAACGGAGTTCGAAACTAGTAAATTTAAGAAGGGCTAATTTACCAAAACAAAAAATATATGAGTGGATCCTACCTGTAAGTTTTAAAGTTCTATCAAGTTAATACTACAATTGGTATACTGATAATTGGATAAAGTCCTTGTCTCTTTCAACCGGATATTATCCAACTATCAGTATTTCATCATGAGACTAATAAACAGCGAACTACTCCAACATTTGACAATTAGTATACTGCATGGTTAACTGCACCATTGTTGGTATAATAACCAAACTTCTATCTACTACTATTCTTACAGAGCCGTACTGGTCAATGCAAACGGGAAAGAGTGCATTTCTGAACCTATTAAAGTATTAACTTAACCGTAACGCCAAAAAGAATAAAAAATAATGAGAAGGGACATTGAAGAAACTATAAAATTAAAAAGAGAAAAAATGTTAACGAATAATGTATTCGCCATCTTCCCAAATATGTTTTTCCGTATTATGGTACAATTATTTCACTGTATTTTTGAGAGTGTTTAAGTCTTGTTATTAAATAGATTTTGCATCAATATTTTTAGTTATTCCACCAAGAGTTTGATGTTTTTCGAAACGATAAAAACTCTTATATCATTTCTAAGTTTGCGTCAGTTTGGTTCACATTGATAAGTATATAATAATAAAATCAAGGAATAATAGCAAGATTTAAACCCTTTCCCGCGAATATGGGGGTATAAAAGGGGAATTCTCTAGAAAACTCGTCAAAAATCATCATGTTTACAAAATATTATACAAAAAACAGAAGTTCTCTCAAAAATTTCAGTCTATAGTCCTAATTCAGAATTCGTCTAGTCCAAGAATCAATTTTATTATCCACATAATCATAGTCCGTCAACCAGGGGTAATACCACTGATATTATTATTGATATCAGTGGTAAGTTATCATTATCAGTCTATTCCTCCTCCTCTCGTTTGACGTCGATAGCCTGTAAACAGAAAGGTGTTAAGGATTTGCTTTAGCAAGGTATGTTCAGTAACTTAAATAACTAAAGTAACTGAGATAACTAAAGTAACTGAGAATATTGACGCTAACATTAAATTGCTTTAAAATCTCATCAATCAGGATGAGATAGAGGATGAGTTATAGATTTCAGCAAGAATTTAATGCTTTCTAAAGTTGATCATAACAAGAAATCAATTATAGATCTCGGATATGACATCAAAATGTTGATCACAGCATTATCAGAGAATAAAATTGATCGTTAACATGCAATCTGTAAGACTTGAACAAGCAAATAATCTAATCAGAATGACTTGTTCATTTAATTAATCGGTTTGACATGCATGACCACAAGTATTGGAGTTTAGAATGTTGAGATATCGTGCATGCCGGTAAGATGCCGGTAAGATGCAGAAAGCATGCCGGTAAGATTCCGTTAAGATGCAGAAAGCATGCCGGTAAGATGCAGAAAGCATGCCGGTAAGATTCCGGTAAGATGCAGAAAGCATGCCGGTAAGATGCAGAAAGCATGCCGGTAAGATGCAGAAAGTATGCCGGTAAGATGCAGAAAGCATGCCGGTAACCTACTCTACTCTGCTGCAGCAGCATTGGAGCTTTGGGTAACAGAGCTGCGACGAACGGTGGTGGATGGTCCAATGGAGGATGAGAACTGGAAAAGATGTTACTTAGAGTGGTGTCGAAATTATACTAATTTAGCTGTGACGTCATATCACGTGGTGTGACGTTTGATGGGTACTAGTTGTAAGGTTACCGAGTATATAAAGTATATTGTTGAACTGGAGATAGAGTTGAACCAAATTTCCAATTATGCGTATAACAACAGCATAGAGAAATATTCTCTCAGCGATTCATTTTTATACATTTTGCAAGTCTTCCTGCCGAAACATAATAAGCACACTAATATATAGGCTCATGTAATTAAAAAGGGCCACTGTACGGCTGATGTAATTAGCAGTTTGTTCCGGACCTGCTTCCTCAGCAAGCAACACCACCTGACATTATCCTATAAAAAACGATTCTACCACGGTGAAAAGTCACGTGATTACAGTGAAAAGTCACGTGATTACAGTGAAAAGACACGTGACTCTGACGGAAAGTTTACGTGAGGTGTAAGCTGGTTCGGAAGCCCTGCAAGTGTCAAAGCGCTTGTCAGCAAGCTGTGGGAGGTGTTGAAATCCGGGAAGCTGTATTATGCAAAAATTCGTTGCACAAAATAGCAGTATTTATAAAGGAGTATTTTAGAAGGCTTTACTTGCAGCAGCTTGAAAACTACGAAGTATTATCGGAGTGCAGTTTCAGTAGCATACTATAATAGCTCATATAAGTAGTCGCGCGCTACAAAAAACAAAAACTTCGTGAAAGGGGAGAAATGAGACTAAAATTTGAATTGTAAGTGAAAGTGAAAGTGAAAGCAGTGAGCGTATCAACTTACCACACGGCGAGTAGTGATGCGGGTGCTGGAGCTACCTCCAGATCTTCCACCCCTGACGAGCTGGGTCTCCAACATTGCGGACCTCTCCTCAGCCTCTTCTACGTCATGGATAGCCTTGCGAAGTTTGTTCTGCATAACAGCAATCTGAGCTTCCTGTAAAGAGTATTCGATTAGTGGGGCTAGTTTTTTTAATACTATTAACAATATATAACCGGGAACCTTGATGAAGAATTTGCCCTATGAAAATATCAGTAAAGTACCGAATAATATTGAATTACAGATGGGATGGAAAAGCAGAAAGACTAGAAAAGTTTACTTACGCCATCATCGATGGTTCGTCGGAGAGCCTTCATCTTGTTGTTCTGGAACTCGATCTGTCCCTGGAGTCTCTGGATGGTCTTCATGTCCTCATCAGAGTTGAATTCCTTCTCACGGATAACTCGGTCAAGGTTCTTCAGAGCATGTTGAGCATCACCTCGGGCCTTGGCCTCAGAAGAGCAGTCGTTCTCCAGCTGTCTGATCTTGATCTCCAGCTGGCTGATCTTGTTCTTGGCGGCAGAGCGAGCAGATGATTCTACTTCCTCGATCCTTGCGTTCAGGCTGAAGATGTCACTGTTGAGTTTGGCGTTTACACGTTCAAATCCAGCACGAGCATCAGCCTCACGGGTAAGGTCAGACTGAAGTTTAGAAACCATATCAGCGTGTCTCTTCACCTTCTCCTCAGCAGACATAGCTTGAGACTCGAACTCTTCGAGAGACTCTCGGAGTCCAGCAAGATCAACCTCAGCCTTCCTCTTCTGGTTGGAGATAGTGGCAATCTGTCGTTCAAGATCAGCAATGTGTGCTGCCATCTCGGACTTCTCACCCTCAGCGTTTCGGCGTGCACGATCAGCTCCATCAAGGTTGCCCTCGAGCTCCTCCTTAATGTGAGTCAGTTCACTGCATCGCTTGTCTGAGCGGACAAGGGCGGTCTTGTGGTCATCGAGAGCACGGTGAGCCTCATCAAGAGCCATGGTCATCTCCTGGACGGTCTTCTGGTGCTTTCCAATGTTGGCGTTCAGAGCGGCAATGGTCTTGTCGGCGTTTCCGAGGTCCTCGTTGAGGTTTCCAACTTCAATCTCGAGGTTCTTCTTCACCTTGAGGATATCAGCCTTAGCCTTCTCTTGGTCTTCGAGCTGCATCTTGAGCTGTTCGACCTGTCGGAGGAGTCCCTTACGGGCCTTCTCTCCCTCTTCATCAGCGTCAGCCAGCTGTCTCTCGTATGAGTTACGGATGGTGGCGATCTCCAGAGTGAGCTTGGTGCACTTGCTCTCGCTTGAGGAGACAAGGATCTCGAGCTCGTCAATGTGCTGTCTCAGCTCATCGTTCTCTCCCTCGAGTTTGCGGCGGATCTTCTCCAGCTCGTGGCTGTTGCGTCCTCCCTCAAGCTCGGCGTTCAAGTCTCTGATGTCAGCCTCGTATTTCTTGAGAGATCGGCTATGGTTCTCGATGGTAACGGTGTACTCCTCACATGTGGATTTCATGTTCAGGACGTTAGTCTGAAAAGTAAGTTTGCTTAGAAAAATATATTTCTCTTCCCAATGTCGTGTGTTAAAATATAAGCCGAAAACATTCTACAAATGTTCCGGTGATCTATAGAGCTGAGCATGTTAGAAACCATATGGAGTAAGATATAGTTAAACTTACGTTGGATTTCTGGAGTTCAATGGTGAGAGACTCGACATGGCTGCTGGCAGAGTCGTACTTGCTCTTCCATTCCAAGACGATCATGTCGATCTTCTTGCACTTCTTGTCAAGGGCGGCCAGTTCAGACCTAGTCCTCTCTAGCTCAACACCAGAATCTTCGAGTTCGTGCATAAGACGAGTCCTCATCTTGTCCAGGTTGTTGCACCTGGGTACGGGGTTTGGTTAGAACTTTGTTATTGTCAGTTTATAAAGATATAACACCAGCATGTGTGTAACCAGTATGTAACCAGTATGTAACCAGTCAGTTACCAGTCAGTAACCAGTATGTAGCCAGTATGTAACCAGTATCTAACCAGTATGTTACCAGTATCTAACCAGTATGTTACCAGTCAGTTACCAGTCAGTAACCAGTATGTAGCCAGTATGTAACCAGTCAGTTACCAGTCAGTAACCAGTATGTAGCCAGTATGTTACCAGTCAGTTACCAGTCAGTAACCAGTATGTAGCCAGTCAGTTACCAGTCAGTAACCAGTATGTAGCCAGTATGTAACCAGTCAGTTACCAGTCAGTTACCAGTCAGTAACCAGTATGTAACCAGTATGTAACCAGTATGTAACCAGTATGTAGCACTATGTGAACATAATATCATCCTCTCAGAGCTCACACACTTCTCCTTGATCAAATAGTTTCCGAATGATTTCCATATGCTATTAATATGATGTTCCCTATTCAGTTCTAACTTCTATGTCTTTTCTAGCTGAAGCCGATATAGCTGTTTTTTTACTCAATACAGTAATCTGTCTCTATTTTCTGAGTCCAACCACCAGTCACTAAAACTTTGTATGGTATTTCCCGAGTTTTCTAAGTCGGGCGCCGGACAAGCTTCTCTTTAAGGTCCTGAACGTCAACACATTGCAGGACAGGAGACATGACCATATAAGGTAAAAATATTCTCGGAATGGTGGGAGCAGTGGAAACATGGGGTGTACGGAGGTCGGCAGTTGTTGACAATGACTGTCATCGGTTGTTAGCCAGCTCACAGCTCGCATTTTTAGTGTATATTATATCTCAGAATCTGGTGGGCTATTGCTTTGCCATGTCTGGCATGGAACGGAAATGTAGGTGAAAAATTCAGGATTTCTCACGTATTGTAAAAGGTTTTTGACACTATGTAAACTGCACACTTTTTAAATACCGCACATTTGGTGACTTCGAGCTGGACTCTCAAGTAGGACAAGTATGAAATTGTTCACTTAATTAACTTACTTTGACATAGCCTCATCAGCTCGGTCTTCAGCCTCCTGGATTCGGGCAAGGAGTTTCCTCTTCTCAGCCTCAAGCTCTGTAAATATTGCTGTTTATCATCTGTACTAATTACATCGATATAACCATAGATGCAAAAAGTGGAAAATACAGGCAAAATTACGCCTTAAATTAGTTTTTTTATAACACAGTCTACAGTAACTGAAGATAAAACTAGCATAATATTGATATAACAGAATATGGCAATATAGAATATGGTCCTTACCATCGATCTTGGGCAGAGCTTCGGCCTCGAGTCGGCTCTTCCAAGACTGAATCTCGTTCTGAGCGTTAGTTAGGTTCCTGCCAAGATCGTTCTTCTCGGCGTTGATAATCTCAAGGTCGTCTCTGGCGGCCGAAAGGTCAGCAGTGGCGGCACGCAGCTGGTTGATGAGCTGGTTCTTCTGGGCGCTCTCGTCCTCAAGCTGGTTCTTCAGGTCATCAATCTGGGCACTGAGAACCTTCTTCTGCTTGGCGAGGTTGGCCTCTCTGGCCTCAGCCTCTTCCAGTCTGCCGACTGTGGCGTTGTTGTCCTTGACCAGCTTGTTGTACTTGTCGGTCAGCTCTCTAAGAGAGGCCTCGAGTGCAGCAATACGGGCGTTGGCCTCTGCGAGAGAAGCGTCAAGGCCACCGGCGTTCTTGTCGGAGGTGGCCTTGGCCTTGGCCAAGTTGTCGACCTGCTCGTTGAGGTCATTCATTTCGGACATGAAGGCCTTCTTTTCTTTTTCAGCCCTGAGTTGAATTAAGGGGTTACTAAAATGAAATGATAATTCTTTGGAGATCTTAGAAATTATTTTGAAAGACGCAAATGAACCAAACATTATATTATTGAAACTAAGTGTTCGTACAAAATATATTCTTATACGAAATGACGTAATAATTTTATTCATATATTTCTCACTTGGCTTTGTATTTCCTGAGCATATCCTCAGCATCCTCAAGTTGGTTCTGGACATCGTTGAACTTCCTCTTAGAAGCATCGGCCTGTTCTTGAGCTTCGAGTTCAGCTCCTTCCTTATCCTTTCGGAGCTTGGCGATCTCCTCCTCACGACGTCGGCACAACTCAGTCTGCAAAGAGAAAGAGATGAGTTAAAGTGCGGACAAAATATTCCCTTGTGTTGCACATGAAGAGGGAAAACTAATTTAGCAAATGATTCTAAATTTACAAAAATTTGGCACCATAGGATTACGTCAGACTAAACATGCACAAGTTTTTACTGGTTTTAAAAATCATCGGGTTTGTGCGAAATAAGCAAAAAAAGGAAGATCGAATAACGAATTATATTATTCAATTCACCAATTGTTTGTTGCTGACCATGTCAGCTGCGGAATGTCAGGATGTATGAGAGAAAAAAGAAAAATCAGAGACCGGTAACACTAGACACGATAACATTTATCAAGTACTGACTCAGCGAATCAAGAGTTACTTAAAAAAGGTTTCCTTTGCAGTAACATTCCTCAATGTTTGTTACACTCCTTACTCTCGGAGTCTTGGGAGTCAAGGTGCCATCCTCGCTAATTATACATGTGCATATTTGCATCAAACTGGACGTTCTGTTTAAAATTCAATAAACTATGATGACATGTTTGATTAAAAGTGAAATAACTTACGGCAGCGCTGTTAGCTCCACCGGCCTCCTCAATCTGATCCTCGTAGGCGGCGATCTGGGCTTCAAGCTCGTTTCTTGCCTTTTCAAGTCTCTGCTTCTGGTTTCGCTCGTTATCGAGCTCATCCTCAATGTCCTTGTTCTTCTGTCCGAGATCTTTAATCTGTCTCTGGCATTTAGTAACGTTGTTCTGTTCAGCTTCAACAGCTGCCTGTAGGCCGGAAATTTCACTTTCCTTCCTTCTGACGGTGTCCTCAGACTCGGTCTTCTGTCTAGTCATGTCATCAAGTTGTCCGAGGACTTCCTTGCATTCAGCGTCCTTCTTTCTCAGGTTCTTGTCCAGATCTGCCTTGGCTCTCTTTTCCTTGTCAAGATCCACTTTGGTCTCACCAAGCTCACTCTCAACCCTCTTCTTCTCCTTGTCAAGACGCTGTCCCTTTTCTTGAGCAGCGGCCAGCATGGATTCGGTCTCTCCCAGTCTCTTTGCGGTATCATTCAATTTGGTATCCAGTTTCTTGATCTCCTCGTCCTTTCTGGTCAACTCGTTATTTTTTTCCTTGAGTTCTGCTTCTTTTCCTTGGATATCACCACCGGCCTGAAGTGATACATTGTAAATGAATGGAACATTAGGATAAACATTTTGCCTGAATTTGTCATAAACGAACGCCTCAGCAATGGAACAAAAAATAAATGGAAACCCCAATAAAAGATTTGCACGAGCCAAAGATGTAAAAATCTTTTTTGTGTTGTTTTGTTAACAAACGAAATAATTTTTGTCGAACAACATAAAAAAACTAATACTCACGTTCTTGAGCCTTTCGCCAAGAGCGGCAAGTTCTTCCTGGACTCCGATGAGTTCAGCTTCAACTCCCCTTTTGTTCTCAGCGACGATGAAGTTGTTCTCCTCTTCCTCTTCAATTCTGTCGATCAACTCATTGTTCTCCTCCTCGAGCTCCTGCTGTTTACCTTCAAGTTTGAAGACAAGTTCCTCAGCATCAATAGCTGCCTGTCTCTCCCTCTCCAGCTCAGCTTGGATCTTCATCCTCTCTTCCTCAAGTTTCTCGTATTTCTCTTCGAGCTCCTTCTTGGCAACGGCCGTTGCAGCGGCTTCTTCCATGGCTTTCTTCATCTCTTCCTCCTTTTCTCTGATCTCGTCCTCCTGACGGGCGATGGACAGGAGAGGTTTGACCTTGGTGAAAAGCTTCCACCACGGCCAGTTCCTCAGGACGAAGTGCTGACGGATGTTTCTCTGCAGGACAACAACTCCAACCCTGAAAAAAACTATGATTTATTTCCCGAATATTTTTATGTGGAGAATAATTGCCATTCGTATTTGGGCTTTTCTACCCTGATCAAAACCGAATACTTCAAAGATGTCCAGTAGGTTAGGCAACAGGTAATAGTTTTACCTCTGTTCCATAAGCTTCATGTAGATCTTGCGGGCAATCCATCCACGAGTGAGAGCCTGGAAGGCAGAGAGGATCTGGGTAATCTTCTCGTCACGCAAATCCTCAAGTGTTCCCAAGATTCCACAACGGAAGAAGACCTTGGTGTTTCCGAATTTAGCTTGGTCATCAGTAAGCTCAAGATGAGTGATGATAAGCTGAGAAGCTTCTTTGGCCTCGATGAAGCCAGCAGGGATGGCTGAAGCGGCCAGGATCTTGTATCGCTGTACGAAGTCGGCGTAGGCAATCCTGTTGGGGAATCCAGCTCGCACAATACGGATACCTTCAAGTACACCATTACACCTGGACATTTTGAGAGTTAGAAATTACATTTATTTGCCAATGTTATTTGTACATGTTAAGTCTTATTGGGAGCACCTCATGACCGTTCAATGAATATGCATCTTTTGAGAGCAAGAATTAAAAGTTATGACTTATGAAGATAATGAAGCTGATTGATTTAGAACAAACCTGAGCTGATGAAGGATAAGTTCAGCCTGGACCTTTCCGGGGGTCTTGGTCTCGTTAGGTACCAGACAACGGATGAAATGAGGGTAGGTTGCGTGCAACATTCCCATGAGAGAGTTCAGGGACTTCCTGTGCATCATAGCCATGGTCTGGAAAGTCTTCTTCCTTTCCTTGGGTCCAGCGGGGACACAATCAGCGAACAGCTCAGCCATGAAGGGCATAGCAGATTTTCTGAACAGATCCAGACAATTGTCGTTGAGAGGATCGGAGTTCTTGGTCAACCAATCACCAACATTGTATCCGACAACACCTATATAAATACAGTATCAGCTCTATAAACCATAACTAGATACTTCAACATCTAAATACACCTAGTTTTACAAAAACGGTATTTGTTTGATGGAGATATGGTTGAATCATAAAACAATGATTCAGTAAATTTTTATTGTCAACAAAATTTGTATTGTAAAAAACCCACCAGCGTAATGGTGAATGTTGAAATGGGGTGGGTTATCCATTCCCTTGATGGACTTCATGGATGGTGTAGAGAACTTGGGGTGCTTCTTGTTATGCTGCTGGATGACCTTATCCTTGTAGGTAGTATCAGTAGCCTTGGGGAACATGCATTCCTCGTCCAACATAGGCAAGATTCCCATTGGCTTCTCCATAAGTTCAATGGAACGTTCCAGATCAAGACCGAAGTCAATGAACGCCCAGACAATTCCTTCCTTCTTGTATTCTTCCTGTTCTAGGATGAACATGTGGTGGTTGAAGAACTGTTGCAGTCTCTCGTTGGTCAAGTTAATACACAGCTGCTCGAATGTGTTGAACTGAAATAATACAGAGTGTCAGCCACCATAACCTTGACATAACGTCACAAGATAAGTTAAAGATCTCCCTTCTGAACACTACAAGAAGACAATTAGTTGTCAATTACGACTTTAAAAAAACATTAAAGAGGAAATTAAATGATGTGGAAAGACTTACGTCGAAGATCTCGAATCCAGCAATATCCAAGACACCACAGAAGTTAGCCCTAGGTTTCTTGGTATCAAGAGCCTTGTTACACTTTCCGATCAGCCACTTGAACACACGCTCGAAGATAGCCTTACACAGAGCCTTGGTGGCGAAGTAGACCTACGGGAAACCATCGTTATTTACAAATCTCCTGTTTCGCAACGTACTTGATTCACTTTGTATTTCTACTGTAATCTTAGTTTAGAAAAGTTGTTTGTTTTTGAATCTATCATTACTTTAGTTTTATCGCAATTTAAACACAAGGAAAGTGCTTAAAAAGTACCTGGTCAGAGTTCTGGGACTTGGTGACCATCTCGGATCCGACCTTTACTCTGGGTTTGAGGAGGCACTTCTGGAATTCAGCAGCGGGGATCTGAAGAAGAGCAGCTGTCTTCTCAATGTAGACTGGATTCTCGATCTCGCAACCTTCATCTCTCTTGTTCTGCTTCAGGTTGATGTTTCCGAAGAGTAGACAAGCGGACATGAGTTTGAGGATGGAGTATTTCTCGTCGTCGGAGAAGTTGAGGATAACCATAGCCTCTTCGTTCTCCTTCCACAATTCAACGTCGTCCTGTGAAGGTACTTGTACATCTCCGTTACTCAGGAACTTGTAGTTGTTTGCGTCAGGGTCGAGCAGGAAATCTGAGGTCTGCATCTCCTTGGGGGTACCCTTGAAGATCTGGTAGAAGATATGGAAGTTCCTCTCCTCGGGGTTCTGGTAGGTGAGACGAGCCTTCTCCAGCAGGTAGTACTCGATATCGGCAGAAGCCAACTTGGCGTCCTTACCGAAATGAACTCGGATGAATTTACCGAATCGAGAAGAGTTGTCGTTTCGGACGGTCTTGGCGTTACCGTAGGCCTCAAGGACGGGGTTACACATGACAACTTGGTCTTCGACGGACATTTTCTTATCTGCACCACTACCGGCAGTGGCTCCAATACTGGCGAAGTACTGGATGACTTTCTTCGTGTTCTCGGTTTTTCCCGCACCAGATTCACCAGTAATCAGGATAGACTGGTTCTCCCTGTTTTGGATCATGTCAGAGTAAGCGTTATCAGCAATAGCGAAGACGTGAGGAGGTAATTCTGTCCTCTTCTTTCCACGGTAGTTGGCGATCACAACATCTGGAATAGTTTCATGGTGAAATTAAACAATCTTTACTGAGTGCTGTATAGGTAAGGTTTAAAAATGCCTTACAGCTCAATGATGCGCAATGAATACTGGGAATATTGCTAGCAACAAGGTAATTGTGATTGTAGAGCAGAACGTACCTGTGTAGATAGGGAATCTCTTGTAGGGATTAATAGCGACACAGAAAAGACCGGAGTAGGTCTGAAAAATAAACGGAGTCAAGATACTCAACAATAAGTCACAGTTAACTCAAATCATGGTTTGTAAAGTCGATCAATTTATGCTTTCCTTATCCTGCCAATTATTAATATCAATAAGAGGTTGTTTTTACTCACGTAGATAACGTTGGCGACGTATCTGGTCTTCAAGTTATGGAGGAGACCTCCTTCGTTAAGGTAAGAGAGCAGAGACATGTCGGTACACATCTCGAACTTAGGGGGGTTCATTGGCTGGCATTCGTTGATGTTGACTGTTCGTTTCTGAGAAGAGATTAAGTAACATTTTTTCGGACTTAAACATATTTGTTTTGCAAATTTTTCCTTTATTTAATTATATTCTTAGTTATATTCTGCAATGTAGTCGAATTGAAAGCAATTAACTGAGATTCAGCCAAGCTCATAGTCATTGTTCATTTTATATCATTTTTTATATCATCGACGAAAGTGAAAATTTGTGTACCATAATTTAGTTCTAAGGCATATCTTATTAAAACTTCACCCATATTCAAATTTGTACCACATCCATGACTTAGTCTATTTCCTGATTTTAGATTCTTCGCGAGTACAGATGTTTAATAAGTACCCTTATTATTCCGATAGGCGTCGAACTCCAAGAGCTCTTAAAAATTTGCGCCTTCAATTTGCAGGATAGAGCAGGAAATTGGTGCACCGTCGTATAAGTTAACAAATCTGCTCTTTTCGAGTATTGACCCTGTATGGTCATTAGAAACACCCATAAAAGTTCGTTTTTGGTATGCGTATAGAAAATCGATACAGCTTTAAAATGAGATGTTCGGCGACCTCCTAGCTCACTCATCAGACTCAGTAGGAGTGATTATTATATACTAATATGTGATATAAGTTAGATAGGTTTTATGAACTATATAATAGGTTTTCTGTGTGTCTCTCAAGGCGGTCAAATCCCTAAAAAGCTAATTCAACTGTTATTGATTTTTAGCGATAAAATAAGTCTCATGGTTGATATTTTGGCCGTTCAAGGTCAGCAATAGTTTATTTAATTTAAAGATGTTGAGGTATTGTCCGTCTACTAAGTAGCCACTTGCATCCTAAGCTGTAAAAGAAAAAACCTTCTTGCACTGAACCCGATTATATGGCTAATTCAAACAATGTTTTATTAGTAACATTTTATAAGTTTATAGTGGCTCAAGGGCTCATATCTAGGGATAATGCATTTTTCTACCATTTCTAAAGTTTAAACGATCGGGAATTTTTAGAATATGAGAAATGTAAAAAATCTCGAATAATTGATTCGATTGAGGCTTCTACAAAAACTTTGATGAGCTTACCAACTTTTATTTATTGAAAATTGAAGAATGTCAAAATTTCCAGATTATCGACAATTCGGAAAGAATTTCAAAAGAGTTTTAACAATGCTAACACTTGCATCGCCACAAAATTGTCAAGAATGAATATTAAATATATTTTCCAGCTTTATACTTTTTGAAAGCTAGTTCAACTTTCAAGACCTTGTTTTTTGATATTCTAAAATATCCGTCCTTATCCCATTGCAAAAATATTGTGATAATATTAAATATTTTAGAAACTGTAACTCTAGCGTGACAGTATATATTTTTTTCCATCCTCACCTCGTTGGTTTCGACCAGATTAATCTGGCAGTCATCTCCTTCTTGTTTCAAGATCTCGATCTTGGCGAACCCATCATCACCGGGCACTGGAAGCCAGGCCATCTTCTTACCGGCGAAGTCATTAGACTTGTTGTTATTTGTAGGAGCGTACAAGTACTTGCAGGAATCCTCCCACGTAGCGGCCATATTGCCTGAAGGGGAACTGTTAGATTTATAAAGGAGCTGTTAGATTAATAAAACATGTGTGGGTGCAGTGGGGTTTGAGGTGAATTTAACTGGGGACTAGTTTTAATGCTGATGAGTTTTTATACTAAATAGGAGACTGTTCCGTACCCAGATTGAGTCCTTTAAAAACTTTATTATAATTCAGGAAACCTTCTGTAAGATTTGGTTTCAATATGCTGTTCAGAACACATACTTTTCTAATGACAGTTATTAGAGCTCACTAGGCTCTATATATAGGCTGAATTCTTTTATCTTAATATTTCATTAATGAGTCATAATATAGATGCTAATCATCACTAAAACTTCTATAATTGCAGAACGCTCGGAAAGTCAGATGAATCACGCAATATTCATCGGTAACATAGGTCGAAGGAGGCGAGCTGATAACATATAAATCACTTGCTGACGTACGGACAACCGCATTATATATGCAGGACAGCTTGCAAACAGTGATAATCATGCCGAAGAATAGACCTGGCCAGGTAGAAGATGTAAACATTTGAACAAATATCTGACTCAGAAGTCAGATAAGGTTGAATTGTTTAGATTGACTTACTTCCCTTGGACATGTCTACTGGTGGGCACTCGCAACCAAAAAGGTAGAAAAAATAATAATGTGCTGGTTTGGTGAGCAGGTCTTTGCTGAGAATACCTGTTGAAAGGCCGGGTCCTGTTGACAGCTCAGACCCCGTTGTTTGGTTCGGTCTAAGCCAAGCTGCAGCAGGACCTATTTTAACACATTTGGACACACTACACAGTCGGTTTCATTCGCACTTTCCGGCAAATATGTCCAATATGGCTTGTTCAGATGATCTTTTTTGGAGGAGTGTAAATTAGCGGTAGAAAGAAAGGAGTTAGTGCAGGTTGGAGGAACAATAAGATGATATCGGAGGATTGGTAGTGGTGGAAGCAAAGGCTTGAGGTGGGCCGTTGGAAGGCTTCTCTGCAGAAAGGTGGTGACACGGCCCTGCGGGCTGCACACAGTGCCGTGTTTTAAACCTGAACTGTGCAGGCTCCCCCAATCACCGGCCCTATTTACAATTACTTCCAAGTATGGGGATCACGTGATTTTCTGCTACCTCACGTGATTTACTGATATATTGACCAATAGGAAAGCTGCAAACACTTGGCTTTCCGTTTAACACCCACTTCAAGGCGACCTTCATGTTTTTCGGCAGAATTGTTAAATGTTCAGTTACAATATATGTTCCATATGAGCGGCATGTGTTCACGGTAAGTTATATAACAACGAGGTATTTTTATGCCTATTCTGGGATTTCTTAAGAACTCTAGAAAGTTGAAACTGGACCGGAATGTTAAAGTGCAATAATATAATATTTTAACTCCATTATAGTTGGACATGCGTCTCACAATTTAACCGGAATGTTAAAGTACTAATAGTTGGATGATATCTGGTTGAGAGAGACAAGGCCAATTTTCGGCGTCAACGCCATCTTCAGGCTAAAATTGCTGTTTCATTTGTCTTGTTTCATTTGTCCTTGTCTCTCCCAACCGCATATTATCCAACTATCAGTACTTTAACATTCCGGTTAAATTGTATTTAATCAGTATTTCAATCATGAGACTAATAAACAACGAACTACTCCATCATTTGATATTCCTTAACCTCGACCGGGAATGTTTAAGTGCTATAACATTAATATTTTTAATCTATTATAATGAGTCTCACAATTTAACATGACTTACAGATTATTAATTAGTAATTATCATCGGTTTAATTAGTAATAATCATCGGTTTGGTGCAACTCATTTTCAGCAAGGATATTTATATTTATTTAAATGTCATTATAATTCTGTGCTACATAGTTCAAAAAAGTAGAAAATAAAGCTAGAGATAAGAGAAAGTGCGAGTTGCTCCATCTGATTTGTACAGCAACTCACTCCACCGCAACAACAAGGAACTGTGCTACCAGCCTTTGCTGCTGACTTGATAAACCCACTCCGCATAACACGATAACCTACACAATAACCCAATAAAGAGGAATAACCAATAACCGAGCCCCTTCACTCCAGAGAAGCCAATCAGCAGCCGCACATTACAGCAATATTAATTAACCAATAGGATGTTGCGTGCAGTGTGCAGTGAAAACAGTGACACAGGATGTTTTCCAGTAGCCCGCTTCCTTTCTGTCCAGCCCATGGCTTTAACTTCGTTAGACCAACTCATTAAAAATGCTTGCTGCTATCGGTACATTTTCAGAAGTTACCATAGACTTTTTTATTGGTGAAATATTGAGACTGAAGCTTGGAAATGAGACTAACCCAAAATGTTGGAAAAGTGTCTGAATCTCTAGTTTAATGTTACCCTTCCTAACTCAGCTCATAAACCGGACCTTGGTGCATTTCAGCGACTGATAGGGCAAATATCATGTTCCTAAGTTTACGGCAGATTTCAAAATTTATCTTAGTTCTACTACTGGTTACTACTGGTTACTACTGGTTACTACTGGTTACTACTGGTTACTACTGGTTACTACTGGTTACTATTGGTTACTACTCTTATGTACTCTTCTTAAGTTTACGGCAGATTTCAAAACTTATCTTAGTTCCATATCTTAACATATTCTGAGGTGAGGGGCTGATAACATGACAGCAATTTGTGAAAAATTAAGTAGGGATAGGGACTTGAAACTTGGTATGCACAAATTCCATACATATTGAGACGTTGTGGAGAAAATATTTTAGCAACTGTTCCTTCATAAATGTTTTTATTATTTCTCAAAAATCACATTTTCTGTAGCACACCCTGTATAAATCACCTGCTGACGCTATGCAGGACAATTTGCAAACAGTAATAATAATACCAGGGAATAGACTTAGACATGTAGAAATAGGTGTACATTTGAACAAACAGCTGACCAAGAGTTGAAATGGTTAGTTCTACTTACTTTTCTTCTCCTCCGCAGCAGACATCTTGGTTTATGATTAGAACTCGCAACAAAAAAGGTAAATAAAATAATGGGCTTGTTTGGTGAGTAGGCTCGGTTTTGTTAAATTTATAATTAGGGTTAGGTCTTTTAGTTAATTTGATGGGCGTGTAACTAGTAAACGAGGTTTTAGCCCCCATTTTAATTGAAAATAATCTGCTTGTACCTTTCAAGTTATTAAGTGTTAATTTATCTGCAAGCTAACGCCTAGCGTAATATCATTTAAAACAGCATCACCGAAGTGGAGATATATTTCTGACATGAAGCCTTTCATTTTATTGATTCTTCAGATTACTACTGGCTGCTACTGGTTGCTACTGGTTGCTACTGGTTACTACTGGTTGCTACTGGTTGCTACTGGTTGATACTGGTTGCTACTGGTTGCTACTGGTTATTATTGGTTAATACTGGTTGATACTGGTTGCTACTGGTTACTACTGGTTGCTACTGGTTACTACTGGTTGCTACTGGTTGCTACTGGTTGCTACTGGTTATTATTGGTTACTACTGGTTGATACTGATTGCTACTGGTTACTACTGGTTGATACTGGTTGCTACTGGTTGCTACTGGTTGCTACTGGTTGATACTGGTTACTACTGGTTGATACTGGTTGCTACTGGTTGCTACTGGTTGCTACTGGTTACTATTGGTTACTACTGGTTGATACTGGTTGCTACTGGTTACTACTGGTTGATACTGGTTACTACTGGTTGCTACTGGTTGCTACTGGTTGCAGTTGCGGGTGGCAGAGGATAGGGAAATAACATAAAGAGTGAGATATGGTAACATCAGTCACATTTACTTACTTTTTGCCTGAGACATGTTGGTTGATGCCAGTAGCTGAAAAGTTCACTCGCAACCAAAAAGGTAAATAAAATAATGGGCTGGCTTGGTAGCCAAGTTCCTTATATCTGTCATTCTGTCGTTAGACTAATTGACAGTTTTGCTCTTTTGAGTGGGTCTATGATAATTTGTTAGCCAATAGAGCTAGCTTGGTAGTCATTAGAGCTCTATCGGTAGTTGTACGAACTTGCTTGGTAGTTATTAGAGGTAGGTAGGTAGGTCAGGAGCGGAATAATTTTGTTGAAACAGCCCATGTTGAAGTTTAGTAAAGTAGTTCTGGTGGAATAGTGAAGCACCATAAACTATGTGGCAGGTGACTGCTGTTTGCAGTCCGATTGGTAGTGATTTCTCAGCTGGTTGCTGACAAGTTTCTAGCGATGTTAAATTTATCGCAGAGCAAAAGTTGTCTTGAAGTAATTAAAATACTTGCAATTACTCTAACATTTGTAAACGGTGCATGCAAATAAATTTTCACTCCCAAAAATAGCAATTTCTTAGATCAACCAAGTGCCTATCACTATGGTTACTAGCTTTCAAGTGACAATAACTGCGCTGTTTTTAATCACACTAATTTTCCTGACTGTACGAACATATAAATATAAATGTCATATAAAAACATTATCCTCAAAAACCGATCAACAATCAGCTTTGTTCCTTTCTTACAAGCTGGTAATGTCATTATGTGATCCTCAGAAACTTAGCAAACCGTTTAGTTATCTTTTGAAATCTCTATCTAGTCACATGCTTACTGTCTGGTGCTCATTCTTCTTCAATAGGTATATCTGGTCCAAGCATAAAATGGAAAATATAGGGCCTGTATGACGTATTGATTGCTGTGAAATTGAAAGTTTGTAAAATTGAAAGTTTGTTGCTGTACTGAAGTTTGTAAAATTGAAGTTTGTTTTATTGAAGTTTGCTCTCTTAAAGTTTGTTTTATGAGTTCTTTTTTCCATCCTGCAGTACAGAAAGAAGTACGTCTCTCCTCTGAACCACAGGATGGAAACGATTTTAATAATGTTTCAACATAGTTTTAGTTTTACTTTGGGTTGGAGGAAGATATCAGTACAGCAGTGGCTTTTCAGATCCTGCGGACGTCTGCAATCCAACATTCTTATTTAGGTAGTTTTTCGAATTAAAAAACTGTATTATTTCATCATTGTTCTTTTAAAGATTGTTTTATTGTGAGAGAAGAATGTAAACTACTAGGCTAGCTTTAAACTATCCATGTAAAATTCCTTGTCCAAATATTTTGCTTACGCAGAATAATTAAGGACACTGTGGAACTAAATACCGGTTATCCAACGTCTCAATCCGTGTAATTAATAAATATTCGGCCTTTGAATTATCTAAAGTAAATATTTGTGTAGTTAGTTAGCGTTTTGGACGCTATTTTTTCTAAGCAATTATATTAATTAACAACTTAATTGATTAATTTGTCTAGTTTATGAATTATATGTATTCAGGTCTGTAGAATCAAGTTGAAACTGACATCTTATTGGGGAATAATTAGTAAAGTAATATGAAAAAACGAGCCACGCCCATATTTGGTCCAAATTAGGCCCAATTTAGCCAAATACCCTGAACATGCCCAGAAACCAGATTTTAGGTGCTTTACTTGTAGCTAGTGGTCCCCTGAACTCGTATATGAATTTTCATCAAGATTGGACAAAAAATGACTGAGTTATGAGCCAAAAACCATATGACCATATTTGAAACCCTATTGAGTTCTATTGTTTTGAGCGAAATCAGTTTCGCAAATATTGCGAACTGAGATATGGGCGATTTTGTTCATTTTTTGCGATTATTTGAACACAGAATCCACAGTTAGGTAGATACTGAGCTGATAATCATAGATAATGTGTAGTATAGACTTACCTTTCATATAAAGTTGGTTTCATTAAAAAATATTGATATTTGGCCAATTTATGGGCCAAAATTGATTAAATTTGGTGCGTATGCTTAAATATGGTCATATGCTTTTTGGCTCATAACTCAGTCATTTTTTGTCCAATCTTGATGAAAATTCATTACGACTTCAGGGGACCACTAGCTACAAGTAGAGCACCTAAAATATGGTTTCTGGGCATGTTCAGGGTATTTGGTTAAATTGGGCCTAATTTGGACCAAATATAGGCGTGGCTGTCCCGCGGGCACCGTTTGGCGGTTGGGGTCCAGGACCCCCTCAAAAGTTCGGTCACCGGTCCTAGTTTGTCGGACAACTGCTATCTCGAAACCAAGTTTTACAAAAAAAATCAGTTACTACTGGTTACTACTGGTTACTACTGGTTACTACTGGTTACTACTGGTTACTATTGGTTACTATTGGTTACTATTGGTTACTACTGGTTACTACTGGTTAAAATTAATTTCTTGTGGTTGTGGTTGTCTATAAATATTAATTTTTCAGGCCGATACATGAAATATGATCAAATATGGATTTTTGTAAGTCAAATATGCTTATAAAAAATTATGCTCACGCTGATGCTAAAGTCGAAAAAGATTATAAATGTTTATTTTTTGGAGAGTTAAAATTTGATTAAAAAGAATAAACATGACACTTAAATGTTAACCAATGATTATTTTAATTCATCATGCTGATCATTCAATTTATGACATGAAAGGTATGATCAGCATGATAAACATAATTGTTAATATTTATTCAGCAACAACGTGTACATACCCTTCCATGCTGAATAGTCGATTTCGGGTTCGGGTTCTTCCGCCATGGTTCCTGAATAAATGTTTGGTTATTAAAATGTAAAATACGTATCAATGAGCCAATTCATTTTTGATGAAATAATGTTACCAAAAATAAATTGCGTATTCGTTTGGTCCTTGCCTCAGCATAATTGGTAACTATTTGTCACGTTTTTTCGATTGGTAACTATTTGTCACGTTCTTTCATATTTAAAAAGAGTTTTTAAAAACACTATAATATCACAAATAATTTGAAAATATGAGTATTACGTAAAAATGTCGATACGTTATTCAGCTATTTATTTCCATTAGAATCTGTCTTCACTGAGTCTATTCAGAAACAATCAGAAATTTGAATGAAAGAACTATCAAATCATGAATCTCTATAACACTACACGAATCCACCAAATTATATGTCGCGTGTTAAAGAAAACTCCTGTCACCTCTAATCATATCTCCGTTCGCCGCGGATCAAAAACAGTTCCCTATCATCAACGGCTAAAAATTTAATGAAAACCATGTTGAGATGCTTAATCATCCACCGATAAATCATGTTTTAATTGATTTAAATAAGTAAGCAAATAACTTGTCACTATTTAGCACTTTGCTGGTTACAATATAAACATGGACATGAGACGCCAAAATAGCTTATTCACTGATTTGGGACTAGAAGGATAAACCATTATAAAAGAGGGCTGGTTATTTACCCGCAGGATCAGGGCGGTATGATAAAAATGCTCAATGTGTTTCCCACGCTGTGTTTTAAACAACAGTTTCTTATTGAGCTGTGAACATTCCCACAAATATTAAAAGTTGGAGAAGCGATCTCATAAATGAGGATGGAGTAGATGAGAACCGCGCTTATTTTAAAGTATTGGGTCTGAAAATCTTAATAATCTCACCAAAATTGACCCAAACTGTCTGACTACCGTAACTTCGTTTTTTGTTGGAAAAATGTAATACTATGTCGGCTATTCGATCACTGTAAGATTAAACAACAACAACAAAAACAGGACATACTTTATACCATGCAGTATTATGCGCAGTTTAATAAAGATAGAGGTAACATATTGAAAAGTAAACTTACATTTCTAAAATTAAGTTAAAACAAAAATGATTAGAGGTCCTAGGGAAGCCTAAATGTCAGGATCAACTTGTAGGGTAATAATTTATAGATTTACAGTGCTTCTTATTTTCTGCTCTAATTAAAAAATGCAGTCTAAATATCTCGAGTAGTCTGATACAGATATCGCAAGTAGCTTCAATTGAAATTGAAAAGCGATATCGAAATTAAACCATTAGAGAGCACTTATTTGGAGTGATATGTCACATCCCACCGAGCAGTTTATCACATCGAACAGAGCAGTGTGACAGCTGGAGCCACAATTTTACAAGCTGTGGTGAGAGGACACTTTCCCACTCACGCCCTGTCAGACAACTTAAATATAGTTAAGTGTTAACGTATTCGCGGATGAGGCGCGCAATGACAACTAATAAATCTCCGGAGTGACTGATTTTTATAACAACGCAACATGGCGGCCAGAGCTCAGGGATTGGAGGGAGGAATGGCACGTGACGTTGGGGAGCTCAATCTGCGCAAAGTTGCAAATTAGAAGGGAAGCACTTAAAACATCCCTGTAATTTAGTAGTATAAAATATGTCGGTTTGCTTCACAGGGCCTGGCCCGGGCTGAGCAGTGTAATACTTCATGGTTTGCTAATTCGTCGTCGAAAGGTTGACAAGATGATTAGGACTGGAGACAAGAGGACCCAGTGAGCGTGGGATCCCAACTGTAACTCATCTTCAGAGAGTCAGAGGTATTATGCATCACGCAGCCCGCTCGCGAGGTAAACTCTACGTGGTGGACATTCATGCTGTTCGTTGAGCAATTACGCTATTCTTACGTAATACACTCAGAAATTTTGACATTTCAATATTCTAAACCCGAATTTAGTCTATGTAATAAGCGCCATGAGTTGGCACAGAATTTTTTGTCTCTGATTTTGATAAATTTGGTACCAAAAGTTGCCTTTAACTGTGAATAATGAAAATTCACCGTGTAGCACGATTCGTTGAGATGTATGTGGGCCTCCTGTGCATTGTAAAAGTGTACTGTGGACGAAAAATGGTTAATTTATTGCTTAAAATGCCTATAACTCCTAAAATATTGAATATTTTGAAATAATTCTTACAGAATCGTAATGAGCTTAATCAGACGCAACTTTTGGTACCAAAATTATAATATTTAAAGCACCAAATTTTTCGAAAATTTGTTCAAAATTTTACACAAGGGGGGACCCTTGTGTTCAGATTAAAAACTTTTGGAAAAAAAATTCCTTTAAATCTTAAAATATTAGTACTAAAAGTTTCGTCTCGATGAGCTGATTACGATACCATAATAACTATGGTGATAATAATTTAAAATGTGAAAGTTATAGGCCAAAAACTAAAAATTTGCGCGAAAAAAGCACGCGCGGCGAACAAGCGCCGTGTAGCATTTCTTCCGAAAATTGCTACACGGTGGATTTATTTTATTCACATTTTTAGACAACTTTTGGTACCAAATTTATCGAAATCGGAGAAAAAAAGTTCTGTGCTCGCGCTTGGCGCTTATTACACTGACTAATTAGAGTCTCATGTTTGATGTTTGTCAATAAGAAATGCTTTCACTGGAGGTTTTTGAGAAGGAGAAGAGTATTTAAACGCGTTAACTGGGCTATGTAGCGCGTTAGCTGGGGTATGAACTATGTAGATTAGTAGATTATCGAGTAAGGGACGCTAGTTTTGCAGGTTATTATAACTGTTCCGTATCGTGTTGCACTAGTCACGGTTAGGCTCGTCTGATCAGTGCAGACTGCCCAGAAAACTGTTATTATTGAAGTCGAGAAGCGTTCAGCACAACTAAAACTGTGACAGTGAACTCAGAGTTTTATTTTTTAAAGTTAAGTTATTTGGATGGTAAAATCCGGCTTATTTGGGTCTCCAGTCTTCATTATAGGCAGTGTTCTGGGCACATGTTTAGTGCTGAAATATCTTAATCCTTACATGTGCTTTACTGTCACGTTTTTCTAAAAGTGCGCTGATCTACACTGTAATATATACCAATCTGTAAGTATGTAGTACTCATGGGACTTTTAAACAGTGAAATACTAATTAGCTTCTCTGCATATCTTTCTAATTTATTGATCAATGTAAAATCCAATTTCACGGACTTGTGCCTAGAGCTGATAAGTTCTCGAATTCGTCTACATGACTTAAGTTTCTAATTTTAACAAATCTTAATTGCTGATCATCAACAAGCAAGAATAAATGAAGACAAAACCTGTCGAGTGACTTATTTGAGTTAAACATAATCATTAATTACCAGTCTTCAATTTATTAAACCATAACTATAGTTAAATTCATTAACTAGACGATAAATTTACTTTTGATCGTTCAAAGAGTAGCATGAATTGCCAATTGAATTATATTAATTACATTAAATTTACTCCATAAGGTTAAACCGCCGACGGAAATTAAAACATGGTTAGAATTTTTATCCATACGTTATACACGATAAAAACATAGATATGAAAATTATTCTCCAAATTTTATCAAGATTTACTAAAATGTATAATGCAATATCAAATTTTAGCTCACTAGGAAAACATTGTGACAATCATCAGCGACACAAAAATATATTACGAAGAAGCAGGTCATTGGGCACTGACAGAAAATTGTGAATAGTGTCAGTGACATTTGTCGCGCTGAGATTCTTGATTTTAAAATTTTGTACAGACTTATAGTAATACAAAAAATAACAAAAACAATAATGCTTCAAATCTTGATTCATTCGACTTAACTAGACAAATTAGAATCTTTAACAATATCCGATAGGTACGGCCGGGTGGGTACTCACGCTACGTATCGCTATCTGCTGATACTCCAGCCAGCTTCTTTAAATTTAGGTGGTCCCATTAATTAATTTACCAATCTAATAGGACCTTATTAAAGCTGCGAACTTAAGAATACTGGGGAGCCCTGTCGTCAACTTATTAAAGTTAATAGAGCCAATAAAGGATTGCTACTATACAAGTGTATAGTAACAGTGTGCAGCTTTCACTTGCAATTAGGGCATATTTTGGGAGCTGCGCTGAACCGCTAGGGATAACTAATCGGGTTTACTTGGATCTAAAGGAATGCAATGGGTGCCTAATGGGTGCCTAATGGGTGCCTAATGGGTGCCTAATGGGTGCCTAATGGGTGCCTAATGGGTGCCTAATGGGCGCCTAATGGGTGCCTAATGGGTGCCTAATGGGTGCCTAATGGGTGCCTAATGGGTGCCTAATGGGTGCCTAATGGGTGCCTAATGGGTGCCTAATGGGTGCCTAATGGGTGCCTAATGGGTGCCTAATGGGTGCCTAATGGGTGCCTAATGGGTGCCTAATGGGTGCCTAATGGGTGCCTAATGGGCGCATAATGGGTACCTAATGGGTGCCTAATGGGTACCTAATGGGTGCCTAATGGGTGCCTAATGGGCGCCTAATGGGTGCCTTATGGGTGCAATGGGTGCAATGGGTGCAATGGGTGCAATGGGTGCAATGGGTGCAATGGGTGCAATAGGTGCAATGGGTGCAATGGGTGCAATGGGTGCAATGGGTGCAATGGGTGCAATGGGTGCAATAAGTGCAATGGGTGCAATGGGTGCAATGGTTGCAATGAGTGCAATGGGTGCAATGGGTGCAATGGGTGCAATGGGTGCGATGGGTGCCTAATGGGTGCAATGGGTGTAATGAGCAGGGACCCAAGCAAAAAGACAAATTAAGCCTACAAAGAAGGTAAAGGTTAAGCTGCAAAGAAGAAACGTATTTATCACAATACTACTGATGATGAATCAACTAATCAAGGACTTACCCGGGTACCCCGGTCCAGGCTATAATATTCATAAACATAGAGATTTGGCGGAATGACAGGCTGAGCGCCGCCCAGTAAATTAAGGACCGAATGTTTTAAATGAAATTTGACGAGTCCGCTTAAAATTTTCAACAGAATGTCAA